ATTTTTTGGCCGGGATTTGGTCGGTTTTTTGGCCGGTATTTGGAAAGAAAAAGCTCCACGATTTTTTGGCCGGGAGATCCTCGATTTTTTGGCCGGGATTTGGAAAGAAAAAGCTCCACGGTTTTTTGGCCGGGATTTGGAAAGAAAAAACTCCACGATTTTTTGGCCGGGAGATCCTCGGTGTTTTGGCCGGGATTTGGAAAGAAAAAGCTCCACGGGTTATGCCAGGGAGATCCTCGGTTTTTTGGCCGGGATTTGGAAAGAAAAAGCTCCGCGATTTTTTGGCCGGGAGATCCTCGGTTTTTTGGCCGGGATTTGGAAAGAAAAGGCTCCACGGTTTTTTGGCCGGGAGATCCTTGGTTTTTTGGCCGGGATTTGGAAAGAAAAAGCTCCACGATTTTTTTGCCGGGAGATCCTCGGTTTTTTGGCCGGGATTTGGAAAGAAAAGGCTTTTTGGCCGGGAGATCCTCGGTTTTTTGGCCGGGATTTGGAAAGAAAAAGCTCCTTGGGTTATGCCAGGGAGATCCTCGGTTTTTTGGCCGGGATTTGGAAAGAAAAAGCTCCACGGTTTTTTTGGCCGGGAGATCCTCGGTTTTTGACCGGGATATTTAAGGAATGGGATCCTATGCTACCATGATTTGTTTTTCTTTTGGGATTTTCATTTTTATTTCTTTTCTTCTTTCTTCTTCTTTTGTTTTCCTCTTTTATGTTTTCCCTTTATTTAGCAAAACACATGAAAGAACTTGGGAGGGAAAACTTCTTTTTGGTCGTTTTCCTGCTGCAAAGCTGTTTCAGCGCTTGCGCATTTCATTTCTTTTTGGACTGCACCTGCTTCTTGCACGGTTGCTTTGAATTAAACCTGTTTTCAACAAAGAACAATTTGTTAGTTTGAAACGGTGGTTGGTTTTGTGGCCTTGATCATCTCAATTGCTTGATCCCTGCCCCATTTCCGTTGAGAACTTTGCTGCTTGTTTGCCTTGAGGGTGAATCTCTTTTCAAACCGACCGGGCTCAGCCTTCAGGATTTCATTATGACTCGCCCGTGTGGGCTCTGACCTTTTCACTTTATTCTGCGTTTGCCTTTGATTTTCTTTCTTTTCCAATGTTTTTGCTTCGGAAGCATCAATCACTATGGTCAGTCGAGATTGGCCTGACGCACTCGCTAAGGCTGGGTATTTCTTCGACTCTGACCAGGCGGAACCCTGTGAAACCGGTCCTGCCACCTTTTCTTTGTACTAGTTACGGAATCAGAGTTAAACCCAAAGGGATTCAAAGAGAAGTATGCAGAAAGGCAATCATATGAGTTTAAAGAGAAGCATCCCTTTCGGGGAAAAGAAGGACTTATCTGGGGTGTGCATGCTGGCTTCAAAGGAACATGACATGCGTTTTGGACTGGATGCCCGACCCACACAAACTTTCCAGCTTCTTGTGAACTCATTGATCCATATTTCAAAAACCAGGGAACTTTGCCAGGACTCTTTTAGTGGTGAGATGTCTTCTTTTCGGCCGACAACGCCCTTTGCGGGTTTTCCCCAATCGACCTCTCTCATTTCTCTTCTCACCGTCGCCCGATAATGCTCTTTGCGAGTTTTCACTAAGCGGACTCTCTCATTTTCAGTTTCTCTACTCACCATCGCCTTATGGTGCCCGAAGGTTTTCACCGATAAGACTCTCTCATTTTATTTCTCTCAATTTGCATCGTGTTAGATTCCAACAATGACGTTTTCCACTTCCATGGCTTTGCCAATTGATCGGAAGGACTTGAACAAGGTTTTTTGGGGTAAGAAGAATTTTGGGCGGAGCTACAACTTTGGAACCACTTCGGCGGATTCATGGCCGAACCATTATATCATCTGCCCCAGTTTCAACTTTTGGGGAAATTGGGATTTTTATTTTGGTGTGACTGAACCCCAGCGAGAGGCTGCCTACGTACCCTTTCGGGATCAAGTCAAACGTAGTTCAGGAACATTTGTTTTTGTTTTTGTTTTTATTTTTATTTTTCTTCTTTTCTTTTTTTCATCATATTTTCTTTTTCTTTCCTTTTTTTTTCATCACATTTTCCTTTTCTTCTTCTTCTTCTTCTTTTTTTTTTTGTCGATAATACTTCCGGGTTCCAAAGAGGGTAGCCAAAGAAAGGTAACCGGCTCAAATGGGTTTACGAAGGGTTGATAGTGTTTGGGGTAACGGGAAAGAAAGCCTTCGTCATCTCAATTACGCAAAAGCCATCGCCACAGGAGGTCTAGACATAGTACCTTTTTACTGCATCTGCATTGAGTGCTGTCTCAGGATCATTTCCTTCGATGTCTCCCAGATACAATGCTCCTTTCGGCAATATTTTCCGGATGATGTATGGACCCTTCCAGTTAGGAGCAAATTTTCCTTCCGCTTCCTGGTGATGTGGGAGAATGCGTCTTAACACGAGTTGCCCCCCTTCAAAATTCATGGGACGCACTTTCTTGTTACAGGCGCGGGCCATTCTTTGTTGGTACAACCGCCCGGATGTGCCCTGAGTACACTCTTTTGTTGTAATGTATGGACCTTTCCAACCCGCGAACCAATTTTCCTTCAATTGTTCCAATTCTTTGTTTTATTTCCTCAAGGTTACCTTCTTTGCATTTCGACTTTTGATTCATTATTTCGAAATCTGACAACGTTTCGGGATCTAGGCATGAAGTCCGCAAGCATGTCATGTTATTTAAAGCTGCATTATTAGAACTAAAGAGAAGAAAATGAAGGAGAAAAATAGCAAAATCAGAAAGAAAAATGAACGAAGAAGTTTTGATTTCATTTTTTTTGGAATTTTGAAGATAACAGGGTTCACATTCAGGAATTTAAAGACAAGAAACTACAGGAAACATCCGAGTTACACCCTGGAATAACTCGGGATGCAGAAAAAGTAGCAGGACAGGTCTACCGGGACTCCCGCCTGATCGGGAATGGCGTAGCCTTCCAGTTTTGAAGTTTGGCGTCTGGTCCCATGTATAGCACCTCAGCAGTGCTAGAGCCCTCTCCCGGCTGAACCATGTGGGTTTCGTATAATATCTTTCTCATTGCCCCACGTATTTCCTCACTTTCTTCAACCGTGAAAACCTCATCATCTCCCCCTCTACTGTATTTAGACTTGACAAAAGTTTCATACAAATGTACCACCTCATAATCGGCCATTTTCATTTTTTGAAAGAACATTTCTGCTTCTTCAGCACTTACAGGCCTCCTAGGCGGGAAACGCCTTTTGGTAGCATTGTTCACCTCTTCTATGTTGGAGTACTTTTCGGCAGGAACATTTTATGGAAGCCCTCCCAGGGTCTCTTTCCCTTTATACGTAACCACCGTCTGATGATAATTCCATGGTACCGCAGCAGGGTTCGTCATAGGCTTCTGTGGTATGCGTCCAATAACCACTGGCTTATTCAGCTGAGGTGGTTTGATTGTCCCCCGCACCACATAGGCTTGCTTGGGTATGTACATTTGTGTTCCTTTCAAATCAGCTTTCTTTTCTGGTTCTGTCTTGGTGATTTTGCTCTTCTTTTCCCCTTTCTCTTGCTTCGGGGCCACCTTTGGCTTTCTTTCTGCATCAGCGATAGCAATTATAGCTTTCAATGCTGGATCAAATTCTTTGTCTTCACAGATCATCCCGATCACCGGCCCGTTGTTGTGGGCTGGCATTGGATTATTGGTCACATTTGGGATATCCTCATCCCTCAGTACTATTTTCCTTTCTCTATTAAGTTTTTCACCGCTTGTTTCAGAGTCCAACAGTCATTTGTATGATGGCCTTCTGCCCCTGAATGGTACGCACACCTGACACCGGCTCTGTAGGCAGGCGATGCCGGGTTTTGTCTGTTCTGAGGGACCGGCTGCAGTAGACCCATTTGGACAAGTTTCGGGAATAGACTAGAGTAAGATTCACGAATTGGGGTAAAATTTTATCTTCTGGGTGGCTCACGAGGACGGAAGTTATTTTGTGGAGGACGGGGGTTATAGTGGTTTGGATGAGGAGGCTGATTTCTTTAAAATGGAGCTTGGTTTCTATTGGCATGTGGTCGCGGCCGAGCAAAGGGTTGAGCATTCATGACCGCATACGGTTGAGGAGCATAAGCCACGTCATGGTGAGGGTAGTAATGTTGAGGGGTTCTTTCAGAGAAGACGGGTCTAGGGGCCCGGTATCTTCTTGCCCCTGATGCTGCCATAACCGTTTCTTCTTTCTGTTTACCTTTGGCCATCCTTCCAGACCCGCCTTGAATGGCTTGGGAGGTTGCTCTAATGGCTGACTGGCTCAAGATTCTGCCTGACTTCAGACCATTCTCCACCATTTCACCAATCTTAATCGCCTCTGCAAAAGGTTTGCCCATGGCTGACATCATGTTCTGGAAATAATCTGCTTCCTGGGCCTGAAGAAATACGGTGACCATTTCCACTTCATCCATGGGAGGTTTCACCCTCGACGCTTTCTCACGCCACTTAATAGCATATTCCCTGAAATTTTCTGAGGGCTTCTTCTTCAAATTCGCCAAGGAGTTCCTGTCTGGCGCAATGTCTATGTTGTATTGAAACTGCCTTACAAAATCTCTGGCAAGATCGTCCCAAATGTGCCATCGTGAGACATCTTGGTCCATATACCATTCCGAGGCGATGCCTACCAAGCTTTCTCCAAAATAAGCCATTAACAACTCCTATTTTCCGCCAGCACCGCGTAATTGATTGCAGTACCTCTTAAGGTGAGCAATGAGATCGCCATGCCCATCGTATTTCTCAAACTTCGGGGTTTTGAATCCCATAGGCAAATGCACGTGAGGGAACATGCACAGATCAGTATATGATACACTCTTCTGCCCACTCAAACCTTGCATGTTCTTCAAACTCTGCTCAAGGCTCCTCATTCTCTTTGCCATCTCATCTTGTTCAGGAGTTTTGGGAGTTTTATCTTGCCCTGGTGTGAGCTCAAATGGCGGTGGCTGAGGATAAGTGTATGTGGGATATTGAGGAGGATCTGCTTGAAAGATGGGATTTTGGAAAGTGAAGACCGAGGGATCAATAGCAGGCCTCGGGAGTGAAGGCTGTGTGGTGGTGGAGCATGGTGGAACGGTAAAAATATTGGGAGCTGCTCCTGATGTGAACACCTGGGGCGTACCTCAGAAGGTGTTCCTATGAAGTGAGCAGACGGGGTGACTGATAGGGATGTTAGAAGTATCCCCAGTTCTCGGGAACTATTCAAGGAAGCCAGGGATAGCCCTCGTTAGTCCATCGTCCACATCTCCATCATTCGGAGACGTAGTATCCAATTTTCTTCAGCTGTGGCAGACTCGGAGGCCGGGATCCCTGAGATGGGGCTGTCTTCGGTGATGAGAACTGGTGGCAGAGTCATTTCAGATGACATTTCTGTACTTCCTTTTGATCTGGTAAAGTATTGATGCGATGCCAGCTTACCACAACCAACCACCGTTTCTAAAGCTAGGCTGAGATTGACAGCAACACACGGTTAGTTTGAGACAAGTAACAGATAGGTAACCGCACATTGGGGTGTGATGCACCTATACAGTTAAACGAATGTCTACATTTTCTTTTCTATTTTTTCTTCTTTCGATTTCTACTATCCGTTTTTCTTGCTTTTCTTTCTCTTTCTATTTTTCGCTCATTTTTTCTGCGTTTCTTTCTCTCTTGTTTGTCTTTTATTTCCTTGGAAAGAAAAAGCTCCTTGGGTTATGCCAGGGATCCTCGGAATAATTTGTTAGTTTGAAACGGTGGTTGGTTTTGTGGCCTTGATCATCTCAATTGCTTGATCCCGGCCCCATTTCCGTTGAGAACTTTGCTGCTTGTTTATCCTCGG